CCCCCCCCCCCCCCCAAACAGTACTTGTGTCAGTACCAGTCCATGGTGACAAAATCTATTTTAGTGTCAAGTTCCTTTAAATGTCAAACTCTTCTTTCAGGAAGATTTTGGTGTAAGATTGCTGAGAATTTTTGGCATATGAATGATTTTACTGATGCTCACGTTCTTAGGCTCAGAGGTGACTTTCATTGACTGAAACGTAGCTTAAGAGGCATGTCTTGTGATTGGATTGGAAACAAATGACAGAGAGAGCACCAGTCCAGCATATTTTTCTCTCTCAAAACAGGCAAAACAGAACAGTGATGGCCACTGATAAGCAGGATGAGGCTTGCAAGTTAGGACTTAAGGTTGGAAGGCTCTGATATCACCAAGATGATTCATGCAAATGACCCCTAAACACATAATGAAATTCAAATTCAGATTGCTGAAAGAAATTAGAATTGGGAAAAATCTAAGCTATACAACATTTGTCATCTTTCAATTTAAAAGCATCCAAGAGACATGAGGTTGTTTTCAGTCTGAATGCTACAAGTGGTCAGAAAACCAGTGACACCTTGCCTTTTAAGCCCTTGGAGCAGGGTGATTACGACATGCACCACAAAAGGCAACATGCAACCTGTGGCCATTGATATTCAAAAGGGTCAAAACTCTGATGCACTTCAATGGGATCCAGGGGAAGATAATTCAGCAGAAAGAATGCAGCCTAATCCCACAAGTGCAAGTCTTCTGATACTTCATTAAGTATATCACCTGATCTTCCAATACTTTAAATTCCCCACAAAAATGGGAATAATACATAAAATACCTCAGTGCTCACAAATTTAATCTGTAAACACTAAGCTCTGAGATAAGATAAGCTGTTATTATTGAAGTTTAATTTTTACTAACTCAGTTTATTTTAAGATCATTCCAGAGTTAAGGATAAGTAATTAAGGCAGAGGTGCACCAATACATCGGTCCAAAATCAGATCAGCACTGATATAAAGAAAACTTGACCGATGTGGCCAATAATCTGTCCAATAAATACCCACGCGCAGCTGCAGCGCAGTATGTAGTCAATGACGAGCAGAGCCGGCAGCATTAAGAGCTGCACGCAACTGGTAAGTCTGGTGTTGTAGAAGGGGAAGGGGGAGGGCAGATAAAAGCCACCAGTGAGGGAGGGTGTGGGGTTGAGGCTGCGGCTGCCCAGCTGGGGCCGGCGCAAACACGGCAGAGACGTATGGCTC